GCCGCCCGGCCCGGCCCGGCCCGGCCCGGGGGCGACCCGCCGGCCCCCTCCTGTGTGTCTCCCTGGCCGGCTCCCGCCTCGTCGCCTCGGCTCCTCTGGCTCATCGGACGCCCCGGCCCGGCTATGGCGGACTTCGATGAGATCTACGAAGAAGAGGAGGACGAGGAACGGGCGCTAGAGGAGCAGCTCCTGAAGTACTCCCCCGACCCGGTGGTGGTGCGCGGCTCTGGCCATGTCACCGTGTAAGGGCCGCGCCGGGGCCTGCGCGGCCGGGGCGGGCGGTGGAGGAGGCCCGGGCGGCGGGACGGGGGCGGCGGGGAGCGCCGAGCTCGTGGGTGCAACTTGGGGCAGGTCGGGGGATAGGCGTGGGCAGCACCGGGCCGGGGCTGCTGCCCTTCCCCTACGTCCGTGAAGCTGCGAAAGGCTCTTCTCGGCCCCACTGGGCAGCTGGGAGCCGCCTGGAAACTCGCAGGCTAGTGCAAACCTCTAACTAGGCGCTGAGGAAACAAGACTGGCTTGGGCTGTGACTGGCAGAGGAATGTGAAGTATTTGTCCAAAATGATGAGCTGTCAGGAAGTAAGGTGCCTGTGTTCCTCTGTATAACAGGTATGTGCCAGCACATGACCGGCTGGACTATTGAAGGTTGTTTATGTGCCTGTTACCCACTCTCATTTAACTTGTGGCTGCTGATATTCCTCTGAGGACTTTAACAAAGAAAAGGCATCAGTTGGTCAGATAGCTACGTGTAAAATTATGTTGTAATTGGTGTGCATTGTTTCACTGTGTTTGACATAAAAACAACTTTGTTTTGTGTGTGTGTTTGGTATCTGAGTCTAGCAGCAAGTGACCATGAGCTTGTGTAGTACTTCTCAATAATGTAAGAGATGAGGGTATCATTCCTTCCATCAGTTCTGTCAGGCTCACTCTGTTGAAGTGTAGTAGTAGTTGTCAGTTACAATTTATAGTGTCAGAAGCTGAAATACAAACCTGGAGACAAAGCACAGCAGTACAAACTTTTGGTTTCTTTTGTATTCATTGTTCAGCAGAACTAGGTTTGTAGTACAGACATAAAAGCTGAAGATAATGTGGTCTGCTTCTCTGAGTCTCATAAACTGTTACTGATTTTCTGATACCGACTTGACAGGTTTTTTTGCCACTTGGGCATATTGTTGCTTTATTATTAGGTTGACACAAATGCTAATAGCTGGGCAGTGCAGTTAGCTGTCTAGTTAAAAACAGGAAGTTATGGGTAGACTGAGAGACATTTGAAAAGTCAGAAGGATGTAGATGGGGCTGGAGGCTAAGGAGGCCCTGTGAAAGAGTAGAAGCATGTAGTCAATATGTTCACTTATGACTGTTCATTGTGAACAGAAGCTGTACTATTGATTCACTGAAAATAAGCCAGTAGCCTAGTCTGTTTCTGAAAAACAGAGCAAAACCACAATTAAATAGTTTTCATATTAGCAAATTAAAAGTACAAATAACTGAAACAGAGGCAAACACTGGTTTCTTCACCAATACTTGAAGGTAAGTTGTGCAAGACAAGATGAGGGCCCGTTAGTGGAATGTTGGGGAAGCTTGTGAAGCATTGGCTGTGACTAGTAAGGGCCTTGTGGTTGAAGGATGGCTAACTTGATAATTGTTCATTAATAGTTACTAGCTCATTATTACTTTAAGGTCTTCCTTAAAGTACTTGTTCTTTAGGTTTTGAATGAGCAATGAAATACCAATGTGTGCCTCCAAAATTAGGCAATTGATCTTCATCTACTTTCTTTACTGTGCCAGGTGTTAACAGTAAACTACATAGCATCAGCCACTTTTACCTTTTTACAGTCTATAACTTTTTTGGTCATTGATCCAGAAGCTTATTATTAAAAGTTAGATCCCTTTTAGAACATTCATTTGGTGAATATAAGGAGTAGGTCTAGTCTTGTGTACATGATGAATTTGTCTTGCCAGTATAAAAGCATGTGTGCATTTTGAAGGTCCGACAAAAATGATCAGCAGTTAAGCAGATACTGGGTTGATCTGTCCCTGGCTCTGCAGTTTGAAGAGTTGCTGACTGCTACTGCTGTGTGTATTTAAACAGAAGCTCTCTTTCCATAGTCTGTTGTCATATCCTTTCTGATCTTACATAGGAGTCATACTGTTGAGTTTGAAATATGTCAGTTCCATGACTACATATCAACATCAGAGAGACATTTACCATTACTTGATTTCATCCAATAGAGAATGGAAGTAAGTCTTTTCTGAGTAATGAAAATCAGTTAAAGGAAAGCAGTTAAATATTATCCAAATAAAACATATGAAGTCTTTGCCTTTTAAGGATGTGGAGCTTTTGGTTAACACCAAGTTTTGTCCTTAAACTCACTGTTTAAAGCAGGTGGCCGGCAATGCCAATATTTTTTTTTAACATTGTTTTTTAAATACTTAAACTTAGTTAAACTGTTTTCACACCAACAGGGTTTTGATAGCTTGGTAGACAGGAGTAACATCACCTGGTTGCTGAAAATTTCGGTTCTCTCTTATAATGGCAAAAAATTTGAAAGCACTGAGAAAATAGAGATCCTTACTTACAACTGAACTGAAAGTCCAAGGTGTCTCATACTTGTTTCTGAAATCTGTATTATGGTAGGAATGGAGGTACATGATGTGTTTGACATTGTGAAGAGAATATTTATCATAGGTGTCTGATAGTGTTTTCCAGTCTGTTTTCCAGTGATTGTTTTCCTGTTCCTCAACCAGTTGAGACATGTAGCATATATATAACAGACTGTATTAACTAGTAATACTGGATTTATTCTTGCAGTGCTGGAATGATGGCAAGTCATTGGGATGTGCTGATGAATGCCTTTCTGTGCTGTTGTTACAGCACCTTATATCTTAATGCAAGATAACTTTTTGTGGGGGGAAAAAGAACTTATAAAAGATGTATTTATCCAAGTAAGTGTCTTTATTATTAAACTGAAGTCTGCTAATATATTTTTCAACCTGAGTCTGTATCAAGGACATATGAGTGAAAACTGGGCTATGTGAGAATCATGAAGCATGTTAACATTTGTGAAATATATATGTATTTGTTAAGGGTTGGGAACATGTGGACCTAAAGAGTAAAGGCAGTGAAAAAATGGTTTAGTGTCCCCATAAGAGAGGACAAAGAGGAAGAGGATAGCATGTGTCAATTTTTTTTTGTTACGGTGATCTGAGCTGCATGCTGGAAAAGGTTCCAAATTGTCTGTGTCGTATACTGTAAACTTCTAAACTTTAAAGTTTCCACCTCTCACCATTTCTTTCTCCACTGTACACAAGGGCAGGAATTTATCTGTACCTTTGAAGTGGAGTCAGGTTCCAGAAATGCTTGTTCAGGTCCAGGAAGGGTAAAGAAAGTACTGATGCATGAGGTGAGCATGGATCTGTTGAAGACATGATGTAAAGTGGAAAGGCATAGAGCAAGCAGAGAAGGGTGCTTGTCGCTGGAGATGCACTGTTGTACTAAAGAAAGCTAATAGAATAGCTGTCTGAGGAAATGCATCTCCAAAACATTGATTTCCAATATTTTATTTTAAGGCTTACTTTTGCTATTTTTTTGGTCAGAGCAGTTACGTATTTACATTGAACGTGTAGGAGTGTTTTGTGGAGTTTCTAATACTTTTAATTTCTGAATTTCAGCTTGCAGTCAAGAGTGACAATTCTGAGATCACATAACTGCTTACAATGTATGGTATGCTTTTAATGTATGGAGTCACCTCTTTTTACTACTTGCATATGGTGATAAGACTGTGTGTCAAGCTTAAAATTATGCTGGTAACTGTTTGAGTTAGCTTCAGCTTTGCTACCCCTCCATGTATTAAATATTACCACAAGCCTTGAGTACAGGCTCTCAGTCTCTTTGCTTGTAACTTCAACCAAGTGTAACTGCATTGGTTTGAAGTTTCTGTGCCTCACTCTGCCTCAATGTTTGTAATTTCAGATAGCTGTAGAGCTTTTCCAGTGGGAGTTGCTTTTCTCAGGCATGACTTTTGTGAACTTTATGAATATTTGTGTTTTTGGTGGAGCTGTCAACATTTGAATACTTTACAAATAGTGATTTAATAAACTAATTGTATAGTAAAGTGGTGTTACCTTTTAGTTTTTTGTGACTTGTGATGGCACCTGTGTATCTTGAACTTGGAGTCATTCTCCAGGCTTGGCTGCTTCTAAAAGGTATGTGAATCCAAGGGTTTTTTCAGCCTTTGGTTTCCACTTCAACTTACTGGCAATTTTAAGTAGGGCTTGACACTTAACTGATAGGGCATGACTCTGACATTTATATAACTTTTGCCTCAGCTCTTAGTTTCGCTCAGCAGTTTGAAGAAAAGGTGGTTGGTCCTCCTGTCATGGAGTATTCAGAAAGATTTTCAGTGGTAGCAATGTTTCCAGTAAATTAAGTTTCCTTTGTTCTATGTTGGAGTAGTCAACTTGCCATATGTGTTTCTGTGTAACAATTCTCATTTGTCATTTCACCAGTTTTGAGAGACTTACAGACTTGCAGAGCTACTATTCTAGTTAGAAATACTGAAATATGGCAGATAACTTCTGTGTAAATAAGGTCTCCTGTGAGATCTTACTGCAGCCTTTCAGTATGCAAAGGAGGCTTATAAGAAAGGTGGAGAAAGAATTGTTGCCTGGGCCTGTAGTGGCAGAACTGTGGGAAATAGTTTTAAACAGAAGGAGCATAGATTTAGTTTGGAGATAAGGATGAAGGTGATGAGACACTGGAACAGGTTGCCCAGAGAACGTGTGGATGCACCATCATTGGAAGTGTTTGATGGAACACTTGGGTCATTGGAAGTGTTGGTTGGATGCAGCTTTGAGCAGCCTGATCTAGTGACAGGGAGATTAGACTAGATGATTTTTGGTTCCTTCCAGCACAAATTTATATTTGTATGATTCTACCGCCTGTAATCAATGATAGGAAAATTACCTGCTTACTTTGCCTTAAGACCCTATGAAAAAGCCACCTACATCCTCAAACTACATAGCCCAGCGTGCTGCTGCAAACTTTGGCAACAGGTATTGCGGTATATGGATTGCATGTAAGTCTGGCTGTTCCTGGCGTCCACTCTTCTTGTACTCTCTGGCATCTGCAGCTATGTGAGTGATGTATACTTCACCACTGTCTTGGCTTTAGTGTGTTTGTCAGGGAACTTGTGTAATCTTACTTCAAATCTTTTGGCACTGTTTGCATCAGTAATGTCATGTGGAAACACACCCAGAACTTTCTTTTTAGCTGCACATTCTTTTAACTGTTTTAAACCAATTTCTGACTAATTTCAGTCAGCACTCTCTGTTGTGGGACTTGTGGATGAACACTCCCCTTACCCATTGTCTTCCTGAAACTTTGCACTTTAATCATATGTCCCCCTCAGCCTTCTCTTTTCCAGCTTAATGTCAGCCTTAGTCTATTGAGGCAGCTTCTTTATTCCCTTTATTACACTAGCCTTCTTTCTCTCTGCCTTTTTCTAACTCCAAATCCTTAATGAAATGGGGATACCAGAGCTGCACCCAGTACTGAATATGTAGGTTTCATGGAGAGTCAAAATGAAGTTAATCACTTTGGTGGTGCCCGGTATTTTATTGCTATTTCTGGTGACTGGTGCTTGCATTGAGGTGATGTTTAAGAGAATCATGAGTGGTGATAAAAAATCTGTCCTGTGAGCTGTATCTGTCAAACTTTAGTGGGCTGTCACATAAGTATAGTTTAGGAATGCCAAAATTCACCACCTTTTATATATCTACAAAGCAACTCATCTGCCACTTTTTGTCCACTGGGTTTTATGAGATTTCTACAGTAGCTTACCACATAACTGCCTGTTTGGTTACTTGGACAAAGTTCTCCATTGGCATGCAGATCATTCATTTCAGTGAGAAAAGAAGAACAACCCTAAAACTCTGGGAAGTACCTAGCTCCTCGATAGAATATTGTGAAAGCAAATTATGTCAGTGCTCAAGGCTCAGGTAAGCTTTTCTGTGCACAATGCAGCAATGTGTGATAGGTGTTACTGCTAATATTTCAAGTCTTGAGCAGTTTAGTTTCTGATTTTTGTTTGTAGTATCTGATACAGTGCTCTGGTTTATATTCAGAATTTTTTAAATTACAACTTAAATTTTACACTGACTGCTGTATACCAGATTAGTAGCCAGTCACATTAATGATTTTGTAGTCTGTATAGTCTCTACTTGAAGTTACTGACCAGCCCAGATGCCAGAAAATACTCGGATTTTCTTTGAGGTTCATCTATTTGTGAACCCAACCAAACAACTGTAAGGCAGAAAACATTTTTAATGGATAAGCTGACACTCCTCTGACCTTTAGATCAGAAACCCAGGAGATAAAATAACTCGGCTCATTTCAAACTGCTTCATAACTTTACATTTATAGTTATTTATTTTTAAGCCATGTTTTGTTATATAGCATTTTGTGTTTTGAAACTTACTATGTATTTCTTTTCTGAAAATCAAGCTGGTGTTTATTCCATTTTTATGCTGAGAACATTTATATAGCACTGGATGAGCTTTTCTTCAAGATACATTTGTACTGGTGCAGGAGAGAGGTAGTTCCAACTGTGGCCTTAAGCTGCTTCCCTTTTCCCTTAAGTGCTTCACTTACCTCACTTGCCACTCTTGCTTATAGGTTTTGCTGACTTTGGGGAAGAGTCAATAGTATCAAGAGAACTGTAAGAAGATACTATGGGCAAGATGGTTTTCAATCTGTGTACAATGGTATATTTTTGTTAGTATAATTTTAAGAATTTCTCTTAATTTTCCTGTTGTTAGTGCTGTTACTGATACAGACCCTGAGAGTATTATGAGGTGCTTGTAATTTGTGGTGTGGATTAGGGTTATTTATAATTTTGCTACAATCTAAATTTTGTTTTTGCAGGTTTGGACTAAGCAACAAATTTGAAGCAGAGTTTCCTTCATCTTTAACTGGAAAGGTGAGTATCTTTGAACAGAACTTTGGAATTGGAGTTCAGATTTTATTACAAAAACAAGTGTTCCAATTATAGGGTACTGTAAAAGTAATAAAGTGCACTGTAGTACTAGTTTGTTTCTTCTTTTTCATTTCCCTTGTAGGTTGCACCTGAAGAATTCAAGGCCAGCATCAGTAGAGTCAACAGTTGTCTTAAGAAGAATCTTCCAGTTAATGTGCGATGGCTACTATGTGGATGCCTTTGCTGCTGCTGCACTTTAGGTTGTAGTATGTGGCCAGTTATCTGCCTCAGTAAAAGAGTAAGTTGAATTATTAATATAATTTTTGATAGTTAGAATTGTACTGGTTTTGTGCTCATTTTGGTTTTCTTTTCTTTTCTCCTCCTTCACCATTAAAACCTGTTGCTGGAATGTAGTTAAATCACTTTTATTTTGTACATTTTGGTATCAGTTGTCAGCTGTACTGGTGAAAGTTACAGGATGCCAGTCAGGACTTTGAGCTTTTAACTCAATGAGAGGTGGTATAGCTGAATGCCTCCTACAGCTGTTTGTAAAGCTACTATTGTTATTGAACCAACTTTCAATATACTCTTTAATAGCTGCATCTTCTCTGTGATACCCTGAGATGATCAGAATTTGCCAGTGAATAAGTGGCAGTTTGGTTTTGAGGAGCTTCTGATTACACTGTGGCCCCAAAGAACCACATGTTTTTTTGTTAAAAGAGTAGTTTTTACAAAGAATAGTTGATGCTTTTTTTTTTTTTTTTTAACATGAAGAACTTGAAAATAGCCTTTTGTCTATATACACTTGGCACTTAGAGCATTGTTCACAACAGAAGCTCATTACACGTGCCTGGTTTTCACTTCCTTTTCTCAGTGCACTGAGAAAATAGATTATCCTCCCACTTCTTCTGTGTGTGTAAAAATTGTCTTTGGCTGGTTCTATATCTCTTTTCAGGAAGTCTCCTCTTGCACTCATCTCCCCACTATTTAGTACTGTTCATCTTTCCATTTTATGTCATGCCTTGTATATGTTTTCTCTTATGTTATACCTCTTTATGCTACAACTTGTGTACAATTCAGTGTATGAACAGTCATGATTTTCTTTATCAAAATAATCATTTTTTAGAGTTAATAAGTAAAGGCATTCTAAAAAAAGATTTATGGGATGAACATTGATTATAGCAAAACTGATGTGCATTTTTGTATCATCTGACTATCTGTGTTAAGATCTAACCAAAACAAAAATACTGGTGCCAGTGTGAATTATATCAAACCCTAAGTTTTTTTATCTTCAAGCTGTTGCAGGCTAGTAAGCATCCTGTAGCATGATTGTATATCCATAGCCCAAAAATCTGCTAGAAGAAATTAGAATCTGGTGATTGCTTTAACAGATAGGCAGGTGACTTTGCTAGCTTGCAGAGAAGACCTTTACCATTCAAGGCCTAGCACTGTAGGTAATAAACACAAGAGAAGCATCCATTGCTACTGTCCATGTTTCACTTCCAAATGCGAATGCTTGTGCTGTTACAAAGTTTGACCCAGTTTTCTCACATAATGTATTGTAGCAGGAAATGGTCACAGGATGTAACTTGGTAGGGGCTGATGTCACAAGCTCTCATCTTCTAGACTGGGTCCTATAATCAACTTTTTATATGGTGTCAAACAATGTCAGAAAAAATACAAGGGCTTCTAGCATCTGGAGTTAGAAAACAATTTGAAGCTGAAGAGAGAGGTTCTGTGTGGGAACCTGGTCAAGCAACAGTTAGAGAAGATGTATGAGATAAGGTAAAAAGGTAAGCTCCTTCCAAAAGGATAAATCTGGAAAAAAAAGCCGCAACCACAGATACTTTGTTCAGAGGAGGCTGGAGAGAGGATAATGGTGTCATTGTTGCTGTAATATAGAATGCATAACAAGAGAAGAGTACTGGAAGGAGCATGAGCAGCAGGAGCATGAACCCAGATTTGTGACTCAACTTGTCTAAGTTGTCCTAAGGTGTGGCCCTGACTGTCAGTAAATGTTGCATTTTTCCTGTTAAAGTTGGTACTGGAAGATATTTATGGACCTTTGCATCTTTTTCTGCACTTGGGTGTCCAGCATTAGTGCAACTTAGGACTCAGCTGCCTAAACAAAGTATCTTGTGCCACTGTAGATAGCACAGTGGCACTAGACACTGATGACAGTTTGATTATTCTTCCAGAGTAAAAGTAATTTAAATCAATGTGGAGATTTCAGATCAGCATCACTTGTCCATGTCAGCAGCTTGCCAAATGATTGTGTCCTTACAGGGCTGTTTCTCAGATAAAAAACTCAGAACTTGGTGTCTGTTGGACATCTGAAGACTGTATATAGAGCATTAATTAACTTGTGTTCTAAAAGACAAAGTGAAAGGGGAGAGTCTGCTTTCGCAAGCTCCTATCTCTTAATCCTGGAAATGGCTGAGAAGGAACACTTTTCTGTGATGGAGGAGTTAAGGGGGAAAACTGGAATATTTTTCAAGGACATGTTTGGAAATTCTAGTGTAGGAAACAAGCATAAGAATTTTTATTATTCTAGTCGGGGCTACTACTTTTACTTACAGAAAAATGGTGAAAAGTTATTGCCACTTGGGTTGCTTGTATAGATATGGGTGGATTTAACTTTTGTCTTGATAGATCTGGAGCAGAAAAATATGAAGTGATATAAATCCCTTAAATCTCTCTTACCTGGAATTATGGGGTTTGAACCCTGTAATAATAATTCAGTCAGTATTGAATTGTATCCACAAGCTTCTGCATAAAGGAAAAATCTTAGGACTTTCCATCAGTTTATGTCAAAGTGCTGTGACAAGTGCAGGAAATTTGTGCAGATTATGTTTTAATTGCACAACAAAAATATACAAGTCTTCATATTTTCTCTTTTCTACTGAAATAGAGGACTAATAAATTAGTTTTGTTGAATTACGGATATAGTGAGCTAACAAGTGGAAGAGTTTCTCAAGGAGTTTATTAAATGAAATAACAGTTTTAATATAGAAGTGGAATTTTTCTCAGAATTACCAATTAAGAAATGTCTGTTTTAATGAGTCTGAATCAATCTACCCAGGTCTTGAATTGCTGGTATAGTTTGCGTCTCTTTTTCAGAGAAAGATTTTTTTTTTTTTTTATGGTTCATGTAGACAAAATGTCAATTGCAGCGTCAGAGTTAGGGTAATTTTCTTAGTGGTTCTCTTTTTCCTGTATTTTTAGTGCCTTTCATTGACTTTTTTAAGTTCTAACATAGGAAAGTTGTCACAAATGTAAGTACAAATTCTGAAATTATTGAAAGTTTGTGTATAATGGGAATACCTGCTTCTTTTCATGTAGTGAAAAATAAGGTAATGGTTTGTCTCCTTAAATCAGCAGGTACTTCAAACTAGGAATTAATTAAGCCACAAATGTTTGTAAGTTTAATTGTTGATGATATAATTTTAATGTGTTTCCATGCAGTGAAAGCTTTCCTTTCACTGAATTTTTCTTTTCAGTGCTGGTTTTGGAGTCTGCATAGTGTTGTTTCTTTTCTCCATTTGCACCGAGATATTTGGAAAAAGCCTTCTACTCTTCAGCAGTAAAATAACTGTTTTATTTGATTCAGTATCTTACTGCTTCTCTCCTTTTATGTGGTCTTGATTTGATTTTAATGAATAAAAGCTGCAAGAAAGTTGCAGGAAGTACAGTCCCTCATTTGCAGATCTAGATCATAAGTGATCTTAAGCAGTTTTACTCTTAGAATTCACCATCTTTTCTGGGACAAATTCTAGGTTGTGCAAATGAACATTAAGTCTTTAAGTTGTTGTTCTTTAAATAAAAAGAATGGCATACTGAATTATAATTCAAAAAGCACTGCAGGCTGAGGTGCCCATTTGAAGCCACTTTTTCAAATGAATTGGTGCCCATTTTCAGTATTAACTAAATGCTGTAGTTCCTGATGGGTAAATAGGATATATAATTTCAATTGAAACAGTAACAATGGAAGCTATGATAGCATTGCAGTACTGCTGGATTTCTTAAAAGCTGGTATTGTACAAGTAAATTGCATGTTTCAAATGTTTCATGGGCAATCTCTTAAAATGAATACAATTAGATATTTAACAGTGTGATCTGTACTAATACTTTCAAGAGCGATTTGTTTGTTTGTGAATTCACACAAAGCTGATGAATGCTGCTTAAGCCTCATCATTAGTTGTCACTTTCATAGCAGTTCACCTCTTCAGAGTGCTGTATAAACATAGCTAATTACAACTTCCAAAGTATAAATTAAATATGTGGTGGAGGAGATGGAATGAATTTTCTTAAATTTTATAGTCATGTTTGTCAGTGGATGACACTAATGTTAAAATACATTAGGTCAGTTTATTGAATTTATGAATACATGACATTTATTTTCAAAACTGAAAAAACTGTATGTTTTTCTCTTATGCCCATCTGCCAGGGACTTTGCCCTGAATGCACTCTTAATGGCATAATGCTTTTCTGAGGAGTTCCACAAGGCAATTACTTAAGACAAAAGGTGCCTTGTTTTTGAAGTATCTGTTTAGACAGTTCACATTATAATTCAGTTTGGAAGAATCTTTAAAATTTTAATGTATTTATTACGGTTACCCTAACCAGAGCACATAGCATTTTTGTGTTGGCTCTAGTCAACTTAGTATAACTTTTTTTTTTTTTAAGTGGAACTTGCATGTATCAAATATGCATTCTTGACTGTTGTTTTCAAATGTAGTGGGGGGGGTTTAAAAGTATTAACTATGAAAGGAAACTTCAAAAAATCAGAAGATTCAAGTCTGGTATATTTTGCTTTAGATGTTATTCACTATAATTCTGGTCAGAAGAGTCACTAAGTCATCCATGTACTCAAGTAGCTCAGCTTGTAGAACAAATAAATCTGAAATCATCATGTGTATACCTGTGTGGTTAGTTTTTTTCTATATTTGAAATCGGATTTAATTTCCTTCACAGCAACCTACAAAAGCTTACCAGGTTTTCATAAAGGTTGTAGTAGAGAGATGGTGCACAGTGGGGTGTAGGAGCAGCTAGTTTTACCATGTCTTTTAATTTGCAAACTTGCTTGGTGGAGGACAGGGCAATAAGATTGGCCTGAAGCATACTTATAGATGAAAGGAGATCACAGAATACTAATTTGATTCTTTATAGATCAAGTGCAAACCTTTCAGTAGTCCAGAAATATGTATACTGAAATGAAATTTATGATTTTGTTTTTTCTTGATTTTATACAAATACTAAATATAATGTATCTCTGGGATGTATTGTGAATATTCTAAA